ATGGATGACATGTTTATTTGCACTTCGGTGACATTGGAGTTGTTTTCTGTTTGAAGTATTTGGGACGCCCTTCGTCCGAGGAGTGCCTAGGTGCCTTAACATAATGTGATTTTGTTCGTTGGTTGTATCCTTAAACATYATTTCTTGAGTCGGTTGACAATTAGCGATTGTCTGTCTGACTTGTGATCATATTAATTATTGGTCTCCTTCTAGTCCATACACATGTTTCATTTATTTTGATGGAATTGAGATCGGGATTACACATTATTTAATTGTATGTTTAGTAATTTTGTACGAGGTGGTATGATTGCCTTGGCAGACGTTTCACATCGTATTTATCTATAGAGTACACATAATTGGTGAATATATATCTGTCATATTAGTAAAGGTCGGTCACTCATATATAGATTATGGAGGCTTGCATAGACCGCATCTATATCTCATATTCAAAGATAATGTAATTCCATAATACATGGTGGTGTCATSGTCCTACTTTGGTTTGAGAACGTCTATTTGGAAGTTATTTTACAGGCTACAATATACTTAATTTTATAAAAATAAATAAAGAAAACAAATATCACAAGAAAAAGGAATTTTTTTGTTCTATTTATTTTTTCACCAAAAGGAGAGAAAACTAGTGACAGCTCACATACTACTTCTTGACAGCAGAATTCTGTCTCCAAACATCAACAACTGAGCAAATTACCAATCCAACAATGCCAATCCATGCCTCCATCCATAATTTTCCACTGTTCATTTCCATTTGATTTAATTCCTCAATCCCACTTTCCACTTCAACTTCTCAACCTCACAGAAATTCAAGAATTGCAAAATCCGAAGTTTGGAATCCGAAAAGCTACAACCAATATTGTGGAAGAAGATCTCGAAAAGTTATTGTCTATCTGTAAATTTCTTCCCTGTAGCTTCTTCTCTGACTCCCACACTGTTCGTAGCGCTTTCTGGAGGGGTTAGGGTTAGGGTTTCTGAAAAGGGTACTGCTCTGCTAGTGTTGTGGCCATGGGCGATGAGAAATCGGCTATTGCAATGGCGAGCAGAGACAGAGAGAGAGATCGAGAGCTTCTTATCCCGGTTGCGGAGTCGCCCACTGACGAGGCATCCTCCAAACCTTCGTCGTCCTCCTCGTCGTCTCATCACCCTGGTAGAGAGGTATTATTTAGTTTGGCTTTGGTTCAACTGGTGCTTTGATTCGCCGATAAAATTGAAAGTCAAGCATTCTGTAAATTTTTTTTTGTGGATTTCCTTTTATCAGTCAAAGCAAATGGATGCTTTATACACAACTGGCCTGGGTTTACTAATTCTTGACCAATTCAATTCAGAATCTAGTATATTTCTCTTTGCCTCAGAACTTGGTGTTGCGAAATTGATTGATTTTGGTTCTGTTTCCTTTCCTAGCAGAAATCGAATATTTCGAATCAACTTTCAGCATGTTCTAGAAACCACATAATTGGAATACTCGCAAAGGCCGATTTAAGTTGATTTAGACTTATGCTTTCCTCGTGCCTATGGATTTTTCTTTCTTGTAATCTGCCTAACCAGTCTATTTAATATTGCTTTTAGACATTCTACAAGGTTGTTAGAAGCTGGGCCTCAAAGAAGTTTATGACTGGATGGTGAGCTCTTTGTCTTCATTCAATTTCCATCATTCCATGTTGTATAAGCATGTTGGGTATCATGAAATCTATTGAAGAGGATCATCACATTGATTATACATTGCGCCAGTCTCTTAGAATCCTAGATATCCCTGAAACATCTGGTTTTCTGCACAAGTCATTTCATTGTTTTGGTTCCTCTGTCAAAGAGATGGCAGTATCATGGCATGCAACCCCGTTCTCTGTTGTTGAGAGTAACTTTCCAAGTACCTGAATTGGTTTTTTAAGTGGTTTTAACCTGACTCATATTTCTATTATTTGCCTGTTGCTTGATACTTTAAAAGAATTCACACTATGGAAATTGAATTTAGTACTTTCTGGTTTTTGTGGTTCAATTTACTGGTCACAAGCTATAATGTACGGTGTCTTTGAATTTGTCCAAGTGTATTGGTACTTCTTGGGAACGACTGATTGCATAGGTTATGTAGGCTGAAGAAGGAGGACCTCTGTGTTTTTGGACGTCTTGATATCCTTAAGGGGTTTAACCTGTTTGTAAAGTAAATCTTTCCTTTTAGTAGATTGCTGTTTAATGACTAAATCTTGTCTATAGGCATTCAATGGATGGTTAGTTCTTCTATTATTCATTCCTTAGAACAAAATTTGTGGCAAACTATTGTTCTTGATGATATAATGGATATGAACGATCACCCATAGTTCTGCTTTGTTTCCTAGTTATTGTTTTTTGTAATTCCAACTAATCATGCCTAGTTCGTTCCACTTTCTGTCTTACCTAGGGYATTCTGTACTTTAAACGTTGTTGTACCTTACTGTGTATTTCTGCATTAAATATGACAAAATTCTTTCTGCAGTGTCATTCTCTTCCCCATAGCAATTACATTCTATATAACGTGGTGGTTTATTCGTTTTGTGGATGGATTCTTCTCTCCAATCTATGCACATCTTGGAATTAATATCTTTGGTGAGCCATTATCTCATCTGTTCTTCTCCTGATTTCCCCTGATATTTATTTGACACGTGGGGGGTGGCACTCCTTGTTTGGGGATTTGCCACTTTCCTTGCACAGCATATAAGATCATTTATGCAGTTCATTTGTTACATTGTGGTTGAAATATTGAACRCTTTGCTCGCAGATTGACAATGATTATTTTATTGCACCTGCAAATTTTCCCTATATTTAACTAGTAACTAGTATTCTTGAGATCTAATATCCTTTCATCCACATTTTTCATAACATGTAAGACTTAAGAGGTACTACTATGTTCAACCCCCAGGCCGTAAGGGTAGCATTGGTGGTAAGGACTTGAGATGTTCTTAGGTATTTTGACTTCCAACATATGGAAAGCTCAATAATTTAAAACCTTCTATGTCTGTTAGAGTTGGTATTTCGTGTGGAGAAAGCTTCTCTGGAGCTTAGTGGGGTGGGTCGTGCTCAGGAGTGGACCATGATCCTTTACCCTTTTTGTTTATGGCATATAACAATTTGCCATAATACTTTGAGCAGGATTGACGGATTCTTGCACATGTGAATTCATAACTTTCCGAGTCTCTCCTAATCATAATACACTAATTCTTGATATCATTGAGATGTGCTTCATAGTATTATATGTTACTTCTGATTCAAGTTGGTATTTATTGTGTTTTTCATTTTCGCATCTTCAATAGGTCTTGGATTTGTAACTTCCATTACATTCATCTTCCTGGTTGGTGTGTTCATGTCATCTTGGTTGGGAGCATCCGTCCTTGGCCTCGGGGAGTGGTTTATCAAGAGAATGCCATTCGTTCGCCATATCTACAATGCCTCTAAGCAAATTAGTTCTGCAATCTCATCAGGTAGGTCGTGATTTTTTGTCACTGCCATTATTTGGTTGATTTGAGTTCAGTTAGCTCATTATTTTATTTTTACTATCAGACCAAAACTCACAGGCCTTCAAGGAAGTAGCCATCATAAGTCATCCCCGTGTTGGTGAATATGCATTCGGGTTCATCACTTCCTCTGTAATTCTCCAGGTAAACTGAGAGAAAATGAAATCTGATATTTTATATTTTTCTTGAAAAAAAAAAACCCTTCAAGAGCTTCTTGAGTGACATTGATTGAATTTCAGTAGCTGCATTTGCTCTCCTCTCCTCCCACAGAAGTATATTACTTGATTATCTCACCCAGTCTTTTTTTAGTGCAGAACTATTCTGGGGAGGAGGAGCTATGCTGTGTTTATGTCCCTACAAATCATCTCTATATTGGCGATATTTTCCTGGTTCATACCAAGGATGTTATTAGACCGAATTTATCAGTTCGAGAAGGAATCGGTGAGGTTTCTCTTGTGTTTGCTCACTTGTTGCATAAAGTTGTCCAATTAGAAATGCTATCAATGCCTAGCATGGTAACTGAACTGTCACTTCCAAGACTTAGACTTGGAATTCTCAATTACCATAGTTCAATGTTGTCATGTGGCCTGAGCAAGTTCTTAAGTCATAGATGCTAATAGGTTAAAGATGCAAATGTACACCAGATTCTGACTCGATTTCAAAATTCAAATATTGATGGGAAAAAGGTTGAAATATACATATGATGAACCATATTCCTACTCGAGATTGATCATATATTTGTTGTATTTTGTGATTTTGATTGCAGAAATCGTTGTCTCTGGAGGAATGTCAATGCCCCAGATACTTTCAACTATGAATTCCGAAATTATGTCCATGGACAGAAGTAGGCTTGAGAGAAGTTAAGAATGGGGGATACCGGTTATTAGGTTACTATTAGCAGCATTCTCATATCTTCAGCTTCTTCGGATTGGAGAACCAACCACACTGCAACTGTCGTCTGGGTAAGTCCAAGGTCGAGATCGATGCATCCTGGTAGTTGATTATGATAGCGTTTGTGATTTGTGAACTGAGTTTGCCTTGTTAATTTCTATCGTTATGATAGTTCAGTACAGGTTAGTTTACAATGTGGTCTTGGGGACTTTTGGATAGTTGGATGGATCTCCGTATCCTCGGCGCTACAGTTTTTTACTAAAATCAGGTCATTTATATTCATTCATGAAATAGTTGTACATGTTCATGTGAAATATTCATAAAAAATCTCTTTTAACACCAAATTTTGTTGATTTTGTGTGTTGAGATTTACATGTTTTTCAAACTATTATCCGGGTCTGTGTTGGTTGGGTGGGAACTAAAATTGGAATTTGAATTTACATCCCAATTTTTATTTGTTATTACTCAAATTTTACATAAAATATGCAATGGAATTCCACGGTTGAATTGCGAAATTTTGGCCAAGAAGAAAAAAAAGACGGTTCTAAAAAATAGTTGGGGGGCAACCTGGAGGATCCAACTCATTGGGTTGGGTGCAAAAAAGGAAAAAAAAATGGTTTGGTTTGGTTTGGATTGGATTTTTGCAGAATTGAAAAATTGGTTCAGTTTGCTGGTTGGGAGAATTTTTAGTCGGTTCAACTCAAACCGAACTAACCTATATAATAACAAGAAATTCTGACCTAGGTTTTCTCATGCTATATTTAACTGATAGGTTTTTTTCATAAATATTTAAGAAAATTCCTAAAAAATCTCTCTAATTCAACTGATCCCAGCCCGTACACACTCCTAAAAAGAGTAATTCAAATTCATTTTTACCAAATTATTATTCTAAAAATTCTGAAAACTGTTTTTAAGAGGAACTCAAGAATGTTAAATAAAAGGTCTAAATCCTATTGTTATTTTGGGTTTTTTTTTTTAGTATTCTGCTTTGATTTTTTAATAGGTACTGATTTCTAAAGTTCGGATAAAATTCAATTATAAATAGGTGGTCTAAACAGCTTAGAATAAATAAAAGAATACGACTATTATTGGTTATCAAATATGTTTCATTTTCTGTTTTTTTTTTCTTTTTTTTTTAAACAAACAAAATTTATCAAACTTATATGATTTTTACTTTTAGAAGCAGAAAATAAAAAAACTAAAAACTAAAAGTAGAAATCATGTTCAAATAGTCACTAAATATCATGTTTTGATTTTCAAAAGCTATAAAATTCTACTCAAGTGTATGTGGTCTACTATTTTTGTTAAAGTTAATATCGTAGTTAATTACACACCCAATCACTATTTATAAAAAAAAGGACCTAAAAAAAGAAATCAAACCCTAAGTACATGTCCTTTTCTTAGAAATAGTCAGTCATCGTATATGAAGAATTTTTTTGGGAAATTAGTTGGCCATTGATAATGATTTTTAAGAAAATTTCCAATTTTCTTTTATCTACTCCAAAGCACTTATAAAAAAATCACGAACACAAATAAAATATTTATTTAGATCATCAAACATATTTCAACTAGTGAAATCATATATCATCGACTAAAAAGTTAAAGGTTTGAACTTTTAGTCTCACATATGGTTCAACTATAATAACAGTAATAATAATAATTAAAAATAATTATAATAATTTATTCAAGATGATATGATGATCCTCTTTTCTTAAAAAGAAAAATAAATATATGTATTAGTCATTGACGTTGTGGTGTTTTCTCAATTTAGTCCTTATTGTTTAAAAAGTTTTAATTTAATCTTTTTATGTTTTAATTTTTTTCAATTTAAACACTCGTTATTGATGAATGTTAAAATTGACTAATGATAAACTTACACAGATATAATAGTTTGTGACGACGTGAATTTAGTGGAGAAAAAAATTATCAAGAGAAAGAAAGTTAGAAAGCTCTACCATTTTCTTAGATGGGAGAAGAATTAGTAACTTTTCTCTCAGATCATTTTTCTTCTCTTTTAAAATTCGACCAATACATTAAACATTTGCATGATGCCATCTAGGTTCATTATCAACTAAATTTAACATTTACTATCAATAAAAGACTAAATTCAGGGGGTAAAATTGAAATTTTTTATAATATAGATTAAATTGAAAAAACACTTCTAACAATAAGAATCAATAAACATAGATTAGGTCGAGACATATATCATCAATCAAATATTAGAAATTTTACGTAAAACACATGTAATAAATATTCGATTAACAATATAGGTCTTTACTGCATGTATGGTTGAAATAAAAAATATACCTATCTAGCCAGCTTATATAAGAAAGAAAATAACTTGAATGTGTCTGTCTCGTTCGTGAGTTCGAATTCGTCGTAATAATTTTAATACAATATGTGAAGGTGGAAGATCAAAATTGAGATAGGAGATCCACTGCGTTAAAAAAAAAAAAAAAAGAAACGCAAGAATCACCTTAAAAGATGAAGAAACCGGGGGGAGGATTTGACTGCGAAGAACTGGATGGCGTCAAAGCGGAAGTGAAATTGCGAGACATGGCGTCTCATCTCCTCTCGCTCTCTCTTCATTCCCTTTTTGTATTCTGCAGTTCACCCACCTCTCCCCTTCTCTCCCTCTTCAATTTCATTTTCTTCCCTTAATTCTCTTTCTCCCATCTCTGTGAATCCCTTCTCTTCTGCCATGTTCAGGCTCTGGAAATGGTACCAGAACTGCCTCACCTTCCATCCAGTCAAGACCCAGGTCATCAGCTCCGGCTTTCTATGGGGCACCGGCGACATTGCCGCCCAATACATTACTCACTCCGCCGCCAAAAACCGTCTTCAAACTTCTGTGAGTATCCATCCCCTCCTTTCTCTATCCATTTTTACTCTAATTTAATGGCCTTATCTTTATCGATTGCTTCTCCCAGCTGATGGGTCTCTTTTTTCTTTTCTTGAATTGATCGAAATTTTCTTGTTGACTTCGATTTCTTGTTCTCTGATTTGGGTTGGAGCGATGAACTATTTCGTCATCTTGTTTTGCTCTCAGAAGATGGGCATGTGCTATCTTCGTCATTTGATTTTTAGTCGAAGAAACATCGAGGGGTTTTTAAAATTTTTTTTTATCAAGATTCCGCTTCTATTGATTACGAAATTGCCTTCGGTTTCGGTGATCTTCGCTTTGTAGAATCAAGCAACCCAAAGTAGAAGGGTTTCGTGCATGTCTATGTTGATTCAGTATTTTGATTGCTTCTTCAGGTCAATGGTTTTCTGTTACCTTCACTGCATTCTGAAGTCTTCTGATTAAACGGGACTTCGACTTTGCGATATCATTTTGTGCCTAAATGCATCTGCAAGATATCAGTTGATTCTTTCGGTATTATAGATTTCTTTAAAGTGTGTTTTAAATTGGTTCCAATCTTTTGGTGACTATACCTTATGTTAGAAATCCTAGTCATGTGGTTGAATTAACTGTGTTTCTAAGACTTGGATTGGATGTCATTGTATTCTCCTCCCCACCGAAGCCCGTTTGCTCTTGCAAATGGTGGAACCTCTGTGAGCTTAAGTTTTTGTGCATCCGTCAAATAACAGTTTCTGAATTATCAAATTATTTCACAACCTACTTATCTGCTCCTAGTTTAAGTTTGGCATCATTATCAATTAACTCTCAGATTATAGATATCACTATATGTAAGGGAAACCCGATATGATCCTTTTTCTGTTCATCCAGTGGTGGTGTTATTTGAAGTGTTGAGTTATTTTGTTCGGTTATTCCAGTCCATTTTTTCTAGCACAAGATTGCAGTTAGCAGCTCTAGATTTATAGTTAGGTTTTGTTAATCAGTGAGATCACTTGATGGATCCTAAGCTGGTCTCTGTTTTTGGTTTCATTTTTTACATTTTGCTTTTGCTCCTTTATTTCACATTGATCTTCTTTTGTTTTTCTTTGAAGTATTTTCTATGAGGTATTCTTCAATCTTCCTTCACTTGTTATTATAAAGCACTTCTTGAACTGACATTAGGTGTGTTTTATAAATGAACTGATTCCTACAATCATTTTTTTTAATGTAGCCAGATACTGAAGAAGAGTTCAAAATAAACTGGAAACGTGTAGGTATCACCAGTATGTTTGGATTTGGCTTTGTTGGACCTGTCGGCCACATGTGGTTCGTTTTCTTAACTTTTGGTTTTCAACAGTATTGCTTGAATAGAGATTTTTCTTGAGAGCAAAAATAGAATTGCTGGATCTAGTGCCGTACCTATTTATATGTATGAGTTACTGTTATTCTGTACTTCAAATTTGGTCTGGATATGCCTCTATCTTGTAACATATGGATGGATGTTTGGAATCAGGTTTGAAGGCCATGTGGATATTTAGTTGAACTATATACTCCTTTCCACAGATGCTCCCTTATTCTTAGGATGACAATTACTTGTTCTGATTTTTTGCTTGTTATCTTTGATTCTCGTATTTTGTGATTTGTGAATGCTACATTATGCCAATTCTCAGAAGAAGACTTGAACTAAGCTTGCCGTTATGAACTGGTTCCTGGTGATCTAATCTTCGTTGTTCTTTCTACAAGAAAAGCTCAAACGAGTCAATGTTCACTGGTTAAATCCATTAATAGCATGAAGGTGATAAAGTACTTTAGATTCTTAGCTCGAGCACAACAATGGAGGGAAACGAGTTTCTTTTTCACCTCTTGTTTACTCATTTGAACCCTATAGTGATGTTTTAGCTCATGGCTTATACGAAGCTTGAGGTTGGATAGTCTAAGGTGATAATGTTTTAGCTCATGGAATAGGTTATATAGACGGAATGTGTATAACTTGTGTTTAGTTTGTGTGTATTTATGATTTGTAAAGGTTAATAGGTAATATAAAAAATGGCTTTAGCTTGAGTTGATAACAACTTGGATTTTTTATTTTATTTTTTGATAAGACGTTAGATCTGTATAGATAAATAGAAAAAGGAACAGCTTAAAGGCTGGAGGATGACAACTTGGATTTATGTAACTCGTGGGATTGGGTTTTCCCTCTTCGTCTCCATGTAACTTGTGGGATTACTAAACTCTTAGTCCAAGATAAACAAATCCAAATACTAAACATAAGTTCAGCTTGTGAATGCTGGTTATATATACCTAACTCGTAAGCTAAACATCTCTAAAGGAAGTACTATTTTTTTGGGATGATCGAAATTAAATGCTTATTTTGAACTTGTACATCTTTTGTACACAAATTTTGAAGAAATCAGTTGTTTGGCAGGTATGAAGGCTTGGACAGATTCATAAGGCTAAAGCTTCAGCTACAGCCAAAATCAGCAAAGTTCGTTGGAGCAAAGCTGGCAATGGACGGTCTAATCTTTGGACCGATCGACTTATGCGTCTTCTTCAGTTATATGGGATTTGCCAACGGCAAAGATGTGTCCGAGGTGAAAGCAGACTTGAAGAGAGACGTCCTCCCAGCGCTCGTTCTGTCGGGTACGGTGTGGCCTATCATCCAGGTTGCAAACTTTCGATACGTGCCAGTGAGGTACCAACTCCTATATGTTAACTTGTTCTGCTTGTTGGACAGTGCTTTTTTGTCATGGGTTGAGCAACAAAATGATGCTCCTTGGAAGCAATGGTTTACTTCTTTTAATCCTTTTAGAGAAAGATAAAAAGATTTAGAGAGCTTTCTTCTCAATATTGTAGCCTTCTTTTTCTTTTATTCATCACATTGGACAGGGGAAAGCTAATGTGCTCCTTTATAGACTCTGAATTTCTGTGTGTTTCAATGAATCTTCATGATACCCTGTTTTAATGAAATATAGCCCACAGATTTGCCTGTGCATTCCCAACTTTGACTCTGTATTTCTCAAGGGAAGTAGCATCGTTTGATGTTATTTTTCCTTATTTTATTTTTTTAGTTCAACAACGTGTGGATTCCTTTTATCAGTATATATCTTAGCTATTCCTTCGATCAGTATATATCTTAGCTAGCTAAACTAAGATTCTTTTGATGTCTCGAAAGGAGGAAAGTTTGTTGGTGTCGGATATTGTGGAGCTGGTTAGAAGTTTCAATGGACTTCAATTTATTCATATTAGTCGTAGTCAGAATATCCAGGTTGATATTTTGGCCAAACGAGCTTCTCATTTTGGCATTTCTATCCTTTTAGACAGGTGTTTTCTCACTTGACTTTTACATTCGACCTATAAAGGTCCTATTTCAAATGTAACCTGTCGCGGTGTGGTTTCTTGTTAATAAAGTCTTTCGCTAAAAAATAATAATAATAATAAAGTCTTTATTTTTTTTAATTTTAATTTTAGTTCCTATTTTCATATTTAGCATATATAATGGAGAAAAAACGTGGGACCCGCTTACCCCACTATTCTGAGACTTTGCACATCCCAAGGCCTGTTCTAGTAGAAGCCAAACTTTTTATTTATTTACTAAACTTGGTATTAAATTTTTTCTCTCGATTTTTATGACATTTAAACATTTTTATGGGTTCAAAGCCTACTGAATCCGTGAATCGACATTCATTGTATGGTAAAAATATTGATAAAATATAAAATAAACATCAATAATATCATTAATATAGATATAATATTAATGTTATTTTTTTAAAAAAATATCTATTGATATCAATATTATATTGATATTTTTATCAAATATTTTCATGTCGACATCTAAAACCTTATTCCAGAGGCTTGAAACCTCAAGCTCTCTAGCTACTTCGTGAGAGCAATGCTTTTAAACTAGGCAGTAATTGATGGATGAAAATATGGAAAATATCTTTTCATTTTTCTCAACTTTTAAGTGAAACTTCTCTTTTTTCATTACTTGTATGACATTTTGCCTTCTTTGCTTCAAAGTACCCTCTTTTTCTCCAATTCTTGTGACAGTTACATTTGATCTCCATTCTAAGAGAATGAATAGAACTAAGATGTTGAGTTTTGAAAAAGATACAAAAAGGAAAATGAAGTGTGAAGCTAAACATAGTTAAATTGGTTGAGGTTTATGTCTTCAATCAAAATCTCCGCTCCTACGAAAAATAAAAGTTAGTTTAGTTATTACTATCAACTTCTTAATTAATTTTTTAACAAACCATTCGAACTTTTTTAAGCCATCTTTTATGTATGATTTCAATATATATATATATTATTGAGTTCGAATTTGAACATTTAACTCTTAGGGAGGTATGAGCTATGTTCGTATCGATAAATATTTTTCAACTAAATAGGAACGGAAGACATATCCTCTATATAAGATTATGTGAATAATATTTTAAACAAAATTGATAGATTTAAACATAATATTAAAAAATTTAAGGACTAAAATAAAAGAATACAAAAATCTAATAACCTAAATCGAATTTAGACAGAATTTTTTTCAAACATAACTGAGCATTAATTGTGAGAAGGAAGAAGTCATATGCAAGTTGGAGGATATGCCCAAGACAAAGGAAGAATTCTGAAAAATAAATAAATAAATAACAATGAAGTTGCCATGTTACTCGTATTATAAGCAAATAATATTTAATAATAATAATACAATTTGAAACTAAGATGGCGAAAGGAAGAAAAAAAAAGGGGTTAAAAATCAATAAGAAAATGAAAATGATGCTCTATTTCTGTAACAAATTAACAATCAAAGTCAAAATAAACAGCCTGGTTTTGCTTCTTTACACAGAAAAGAAAGGCAAAGCTTGGTGTTTCAAGAGCTTCCACTAAACCCTCCACTCTCTTTCTTCACTGTCCTCATCTCCATTTCTCTGGTGGTTTGCCCTTCGCTGCTCGACCCCGAAGGGTATAGCCCGTACTCGCTCGTCGGTCCGCTGTACTCGCTGCTTGCTCCATACTCCGTGCTCCCCAGTGCCATCTTCCTGAACTTCCTCAAGTCCTCGTTGTACTGGTTCGTGTCGTAGTCTGAGCTTCCATGAGAACTGTATACCATGCTCTGCCCTGGTCTGACTCCTTCGTTGAGATCTGATAGTGATGCGTCTCCTTCAAGCGCTCGTACTACCTGCTTGATTCACAGTTGAAGTGGTTCAGTATATGCGCACTGAGCACGTTATTGCAGGATTCTAACTAATTACCTGGCTCATTCGGGGTCGGCGCCTTGCAGAATGTCGCACACAGGCAGCAGCGCAGGCAACCATACGAGCCATCTCATTGTGGTTGTAGTTGTTTTGCATCCTTGGATCGACCAAAGTATCGAAGTTTCCATCTTCTAAAGCTCGGTTCAGTAATGGCCTAGCCTGTAATGAGGAAAAGAGATTCCATCGTTCATAATGTTTGTGATTTGCTCCGTATACCGAATGCAACCAAAACGAACAAAACATGAAAGCTATCTCGCTATTAATGCCAAGTGGGGTGGACTATGTGAGAACTTACCCAGTCTACGAGACTATCTTCCATGAAAGTGTTACTCGTATCAACTGGTCGACGACCCGTGATCAACTCCAAAAGCATAACCCCAAAGGAGAAAACATCTGATTTCTCAGTAAGTTTACCACTTGAGGCATACTCTGGTGCAAGATACCTGAGTGTAGAACGGGAAAGATTCAGAAGAAAATAATGAAAGATCCAGTCAATGTCTCATCGACATCACAACCACACAGATTAAGACAATATGATGCAGCTGAGAATCAAGTTAGTTCTTTAGGAATCTAACATGCTGTGCACTGCGTATCAAAATGCTGCTTGTGCACGAGCTTTAAGATGAACTCGGATGATTTTAATGGAAAGCAAGAAATCCACAATGAAAAGCCCGAAGATGGCGCTAAAAGTTATCCTCATAAGGAGAAAGAAATTATAGAAAAATTAATTCATTCAGGAACACAATAAGCAGTATAAAACAATCTTCTCGAACTACATTTGAAAACAACAGGAGTTGAAAAAGGTCGTACCCAAAAGTACCCATCACTCGAGTCGATACATGGGTATTGACATCGGAAGAAAACTTTGCGAGACCAAAATCAGCAACCTGGTAGAAGAAATGATCTGCCTCAACATCAGAACAAGAAGAATATAACACATCCTCTCGGTTGTCCAAGAAATTAAAACCACTCAAATGGAGTTTGTCTACATTCGATATCGGGGCGGCTATGTCGTCGAGGAATACGGCCAAACCAATCAGGGCAGTAGAATGAATGACAAATGCAGATTCAATAAAAAAAAGAATCGCATCTCAATGAATAAAACTAAACTTCAATACCTTTGCTTCAAACTTGAAATCCAACAATATGTTGGCTGCTTTAATGTCGCGATGAATGATTTTCGGGTGACCTAATTATGACAAAAGTTAAAACCGAATTCCTTAAACAACATATCCATATTGTTGATTCTGTCAATCTACCATAAAACAGCAACATCAGATAACTTACAATCCTCATGAAGATAAGCCAGTCCTTTTGCAGATCCTAGAGCCAATTTAAGTCTTGTGTGCCAATCCATGGTCGGTCGCCCTTTCCCTATAACAGAGAAGATCTACGGTCATAACTATCGATCGGTACATAAAACTTTAGTATAACTAACTTTTCAAGCCAAGAGCAAGAAGATTTCATAGTAAAAGAGGAGCAACAATTGTAACTATGGCTTTGGCTTTACCATGTAAATGGAACTCCAAAGTGTTGTTTGGAACAAATTCATAAACAAGCAATCTTTGGGAACCAGTTATACAATATCCAACCAAAGAAACAAGATGTTTATGATGAACTCGGCTAATAATCTCGACTTCAGCCTGAAATTCCCGTTCGCCCTGCCCGCTCCCAGCTTTCAACTGCTTGACCGCAACTTCCTTTCCATTAGGAAGAACCCCTCTATGCACGTATCC